AAAGAAAGTTATAATTAAGTGATAGGGCTATGAATGATATATCCACTTATGGTCAAAATTTAAATGATAAGAAAATGATAAACTGTTGATAAGGAACATTGCTTGGTAGCAGACATCAGACTCACATAACAGAAACAAATGCAATTCCAAGCAATCACATGGTAGTCTTTTAAGAACTGACTACCTACCTACAACAAATGCACAGCAAGTGTGATTGAGTTTGGCTAAATGGGCAAGGTGTGAACCATGCATCCCACACCCACTTTGGACAATTTTTGTTATTGGTTGCCCCAAGACTCTATTTTTGTCAACCTTATGTTCATTATGTTCCATGTGTTTATGTGCTGCAGTATTGATCCTTGCTTTCAGTGTTTTGGTTCCTGGTTTACCCTGCCTGTGTTTTGTAGCTATAGGTGCTTTCACACTGAAGTTGTGGAACCTGGTCCCTGTTTACAAGTTCTTGGGCTATCTCAACTAGGAACTTTTGTAACTCCTGGGTACTTTTGTGTGTTGCTTTCACATTGCACAACAGAAACTGGGACCTTTATTCTAAATAAGAATTGGAAATTCAAAAAGTTCGTAGGTTAAAGTTAAATTAATTCATACAAAGCTACTCAATGGAAGGCTGAAGTGATTTTGTCAGTTATTGAGAGATTGATCACAATCAAAGTGGGACACGCCCTTTTATTTATATGACCTGTGACATGTTTATGGTTATTAAATCTAGTCAGCAGATTGATCTTTAATTTTCTGCAGAATAAAAAAAACATTATCCTGCTAATAGACACATAATGAAGACCCTGTTCCAAGTTTGCGTGCTTTACACTGTGTTTCCTTGTATTCACTTTCAGTCTTTATGAGTTCTAGTAATTTATGTTTGCCCTGTTAAGATCCCTTGTATCCCCTTCTGTTTCAAGTTTAAGTTCAGTTTCGAGTTTCTTTAAGTTCAGTTTCAAATGAAGTTCCTTGTGTTTGTAAGCCACACTGTGAATCATGATCCATGGCCCAATGTGACAGTTATGCACATTCAGTTCTCATATTGGGAAAAACTGTAATAATGCTCTGCATATGCTCATCTACAGTAGCCAATCATAACCATACCCATTATTGCTGTTGGACTCACTCATATACGGTGTGGAGCAGAATTGTAACAAAAATGAGTTTTCTTCCACAAGAAAAGCGAACAAGATCTAGTCACGAAAAGACATTCCTCTTCTGCTGTACGGAAATATCTGGGATGCCACAAAGATGATAATGAACAAATGCAAATGATTTGTCAGTGCTTTGTGTATGTTGCCACAGCTCCCGGCAATACCAGCAACTTATTTCACAAACTCTGTCGATATATAATAATTCTGCAGTTCTATTTGACTCTTGGTCATTTTGGGTACATTTTCAACAAATTTTTTGTTTTATCTATATTACAATATTTATTGTAAAATATTTAAACAATCTAATGTGAACTCTTTCCAATATTTTTTTGTTCAGCACAAAACTTTTTTTTTTTTACATCAGTAGTTCTCAAACAATTGGGTGTGGCCCACTAGATCAGTGAGAACTGAAGGCGTGGCAAGCAATTTATATGAAAATTGTCTAAAAGGCATACAGGCATTGCTAATGGGATTTGATTTTAGAGACCTTTTCCAAATAGGTTTTAGATTTATTTTTTTTGTTTGTGAATATTCACCTTCTGTTTTTGAGAGAAATATCATAAGCTTAGGGATAAAAGAGCATTGGTGTACACAGTGGAGTGAAACCTTATTTAATTCATGTTCAAAAGAAATTACATTGTGTCATGCCCTGCTTGTCCACTTCTCCCATGTGCCATTCTCCTCGTGTGGAATCCCTGTGTTACCAGCTGTTTCTTGTTGTTGTTGATTAGTCTAGTGTATTTAAGTCTGCATTAAGGTATGTGTTACAGTACAGGTATGTTCCGTGTCGAGCGATCAAGCAGGAAGCGGGGAATCACCACATGGGCAGACAGAGATCGAGACAGGGTTTTAATCGGGAAAAGCACGAGCAACACTATCCACACGATATAAACATGAATGACAGATCTGGGAAACAGAGGAAGACATGGACTGTTATACATAAGACTAGCCAAAATAACAGGACGCAAGTCGGGAATTCACATGAGGTAAATGAGGGGGCGTGGCACACATGAGGATCGTACGAGCAGGTCATGACAGAACCCCCCCCCCCCAAAGGCACGTACTCCGGGCACGCCTCGGGGGAGGCGCCGGGGGAGAGGAGACCGGGGACACGGGACCTGAAAAACAAGAGCAAAAACATCAACGAGGGAATAGAACAGACACACAGAACAGGCACAAGGGCAAAAGCCAAGACAAAACCTGACACAAAACAGGAAATGCAGACAGGAACACTAGAAAGGGAGAGACAGAGAACAGAGGAACAAAAGGACCAGGAGAGAACTGAGGCACGACAGGAGGACCAGGAGCCGAGACAGGAGACACAGAGGGGCGAGGAGGAAACACAGGAGGCCAAACGGGATAGGTCGGGGGACAAAGGGGAGCCACGGTAGGCGACGGGCGGCAGCCGAAGGGGCCGCAGGCGACCGGGAGGAGGGAGCAGGAGGGGACCACGAAGGGGGCAAGGAGACAGGCCGAGGGACAAACGCAGGAGTCGAGGAGGGAGTCAGAGGGGGAACCAGGAGAGGCGAGGAGGGAGTTGGAGGGGAGGCCAACGCAGGCAAGGAAGGAGGCAGAGCCGTGGCAGGAGGCGTGACACACACGAGGATCGTACGAGCAGGTTATGACCATATGTTTCCCCAGTCTGGTCATTGACGTCTATCTTTTGTGTGTGCGTAATGTTCCTGATTTGTCTGCTTTATAATAAACCCTGTGGTCACCCGTACGCTTTGGATCCTGTGCTACTACCCCACTCCAATCGATGACAGAATGACCGGACTACCAAAAAAGATGCCTCCCCTCACTGAGGAAGAATACCTCAGCTTGACTGATAAGGTAATCTATTGACTTAATCAGCCTGAGGTTTAGAACGACCTCCTGGCTCTGGCTCTCACCTACCAGAGCAGGGACATCCTGGAAATGATGTCCCCGTCTGAGGACTCACACCTCGTGGTGCGAGACAATTTGCGGGAGCTACGAAGAGGGGTGGCGGACTCGAAGATGTGGCGGGTAGTGCTGGAAACGGACTACCCTATGGTCCGCTTTCAGAGCTGCGGGAAGTGCCCCAGACACCACTGCAGGAGAGAAGAAGAAGCAGAAAAACCAAAGATGGGAGGACATGCTGGAGGTCCTCCTTGGGTCCGTCTCAGTTTCAGCTGCAGCAAGTCAGGAGGAACCACTCCCGATTCTCAACTTGGTGGTGTTCATCTGGTAAATGCTAAATGGACTGCATTTATATAGCGCTTTTTTACTACTCTTACGAGTACCAAAGCGCTTTACAGTTATGCCTCACATTCACCCATCCACACTCACATTCACACACCGGTGGCGGAGGCTGCCATGCAAGGTGCCAACCAGCTCACCAGGAGCAATTTGGGGTTCAGTGTCTTGCTCAAGGACACTTCGATGGAGTCAGGAGGACCCGGGGCTCGAACCTGCAACCCTCCAGTTGCCGAACGGTAGCACTACCTCCTGCACCACCATCGCCCCAAGGATTTCTGACCAGGATTTCCCGCCACTTCTCAGCATCCACCCAATGCTCTTCTGTCCTCAGCCTCCACTGCTTTGTTGATACCAGAGCGTGCGCCCCAAGCCCGTACCTTTCGGGGTACACGCTTGGGCTCTTGGGGATGTCATACAGCAGATCCCCAAGTCCCTGAAAACAGGCGGCACCTGCTGCCATGGTGCACACCCTGGCTCCACCCTCCATTGTTCCTGTGCCGACAGTTCCTGCTCCACCCTCCGTGTTTCCAGTCCCGGCGGTTCCTGCACCGCCTTCCATGGTTCCAGTCCCGGCGGTTCCTGCTCCGCCCTCCATGGTTCTTGTCCCTGAGGAGGTCCCCGATTGCCAGACCATTGCTTCTCCCTCCCTAGGTGGAGATGGAGGAGGAGCTCGAATGAGACACCTCAGGGATCACCCTGACTTCCCCTGCAACTCCCTCTGGAGTGACACCTCCCCAGCATGGCAGATGCAATGTTTTTTATCTTTTTATAATCGAGTATTCAAGTTTAATCAAGTAATTGTGGCAGCTCTACATGGAACAGATTAGCGATCCCTTAGAGTGTAGGTGAAGAAAGCAAAAGCTCAGCAGCCACAAGATCTTTATATGTTGTGGATAAATAAGCTGAAAATTTTTTTATGGTGTGATGGAATACTGACAATTTAATGTTCGACACATAACATACTAGTGCCATGTACTATCAAAAATTAAACTGGAAATGCCCTTCCAGATTTGCAAATCACATACACGGTTTTGTTTGTTTGCAAGTTGGCCATGAAAAATAAAATGGAAATATTTCTGGACAACATATAAGTCAAAAATATATAAGGAATACTGAAAAAATTTGGATCACATAAAATAATTTATAAATATTAGAGTTATGCCTATTTAACATTTGTTAATGTGCATGCATATTATATTATTAATATAAAAAAATTACTGGGGAACTTTCATATTTGTGAAAGTGTACAGGTAATTGTACTACAAAGCTATTTCACCACCGGAAGCAGAGCCATCCAGTCGAAACATACAGAATATAAGCAGTTACAGTCATAGCTACCAGCAAAGAGCTTCCACTATCCACCTCAAGAAATACAAGACCCCACCCCTCCACCCCCTTGGGTCCCTGACTATAAATTTACCTCAGGGAGGGGTACATCATAAATTGATTCAAAACAGAACACGGCATTTTATTTTACGATACAGGACAATCCTGTAAAATATGGGATGGGGACGTGGCAACTTAACTAACATGGTCACACCCATCTAATGGAGTGGCAAGGTGTCAGAGAAAAAACCCAGCAACAAACCGTACTATTGCTGTATTCTAGTGTTACACCCTATGAGAAAAAAAGTAAATTTTTTTGGATGATTTATTCATTAGAATTAAATTTCAGTTCACAGTCCATTCACTTACTGTTCCTTTTTATATTTTTATGTTCTCAATCTGTTTAATATAAATCCTAGAGGAATTTTTAATGAAAGTAAAGAAATAATTATTTGAATTATACTAAATACGGATATCAACTGATGTGAAAAAAAATCTTGATTAAATATTTTGCACAATCCTCAGCACTACTATGTGATATTTAGTTCCCTAATAATCTGCATTGCGTGTTTGGGAGCTTATGGAAGATATCCAATTTCTCTCCATACAGTAGTTCTGTGAGTATTTAGAACAACACATTAAAAGCACAATATACTGTCTACAGAGACTAAATAATATTGTACATGATTATACAGATTTGGGTTGGCTTGTATTGTTATCTGGGAAATGGGACCACTGGACACAAGTTAGTTTGGGCGTATGTTGATAAAGTAGCTGTCCATCACATATACACTCACCTAAAGGATTATTAGGAAGACCTGTTCAATTTCTCATTAATGCAATTATCTAATCAACCAATCACATGGCAGTTGCTTCAATGCATTTAGGGGTGTGGTTCTGGTCAAGACAATCTCCTGAACTCCAAACTGAATTTCAGAATGGGAAAGAAAGGTGATTTAAGCAATTTTGAGCGTGGCATGGTTGTTGGTGCCAGATGGGCCGGTCTGAGTATTTCACAATCTGCTCAGTTACTGGGATTTTCAC